GCTCGGGCAAACGGCCCCGGGAGGCGCCCTCCCTCTCTCTTCCTTCTCCGACACCTTCTGGTCGGAATGACGGGTGCGGTCTGCGGGGACCCAGCTGAGAGGCTGCTGAAAAGAAGGGTTAGGCAGTGTGATGCCAGGGGTCCCCCGTCTGGTTGGGAGAAAGTTGCATAGACCCTGGAGTAGGGGCCCAGGTGGGTGTCATGTTGCCGCCCCGCCCACGGTGACCTCCAGCCCCTGCAGTCACTTTCACAGCTGCCTCACTTCCCGGAGCACTGGCAGGCGCTGTGGAGGAAAAGGCACTTTACTGCGTCGTGAACTTGCGTCCCTCCATCTGCATTTCTGCCCCCTTGAGAGGCCCCAGCCTTCCGTGACCCAGGACGGTGGCCCATCGGGGCTCTGCCCGGGGTTTGGGGGTGTTGAGTGAACTCCCCTGACGCCTAATGGCCTGGGACTCCAGGGGGGGCATGTGGCCAGGCTGGCAGGGCTGCCAGGCCCCCCGTGCCCCTCCCCAAGCAGTTAGACAGCCGACCTAGCACGGGTTTGCTGCTCCCAGCCCCTCCTTTCCTGACATCTTGCTCCTCCAAGCTCCTGTTTCTTGGAGGACTGACTGCGCCTCTGGTTTCTGAGCTTGAAATGAAAGGCAGTTTCCGGAGATGACTCCTGATTACGTTGCTCCATTCGCTCCTGCCACCTTGTTTTCTCCTTTTTCTCCATCCAGGGGTAGGGATGGGTGAGGGCCATTGGTGGGCAATTTATGGAGCCGGGAACCTGGGGTAGCCCTGCTTCCGTAAACGATGGGAGTGCCCGGTCCTGTGTCCCAGTGTGGAGAGTGTGGGACAGGGCGCCCTCACTTGGGTTCCCAGCACAGGCTCAGGGACTTGCTTTGTCCTCCCCGAGCCCTGTGCCCTTGGTGGGGGCTGCGGAGCAGGGCGGGGTGCATGCGCCCTTGCTCCCTGTTCTCAGAGATGTGACTTCCACATCCTGCTCAGGCTGATGTGTTCATGACCAGGTATATTCACCAAGGTAACAGAGTATCTGGGGCAGGGAGATGGGACATGCCCATAGGAAATGGGGTGCTGGGAGGGGCTGTGTAGCCCTGGGAGTGGGGACCACTGCATCTTAGGGTGACCTTGAGCCTGTCTCTGGTCTCTTGTGCACCTGCTGAAACTTCCCAGCCACCAGCTGGGCTCCAAGTGTCCTCAGGCTGGTGCTCCAGGGCTGGCGGGCAGAGGCCGTCCTCTCAGTCAGGGGCTGCGCTCTGCATGTGAGCTCCCCTTCGGGGCCCACCAGAGGCTGACTATTTCTCTCAGCCCCAGATGCGCCCCTGAGGGGGGGTGGGGAGCTATCCTCACCTCCCAGCACTTAGGTTTCTGGCCCCCGGCATGTTATCCCAGGGTCTGTAGGGGCCTCGAAGAAGTCTGCAGTTCAGTGGCTCTGAGCCTCCTCGGGCCACAGCCTGGTGAGTGGGACCTGGGCCCACAGACACCTGGGAAGCCTGGCGTGCGCCCCATATGAAGCCTCGCCCCACGTCGGGCTCACCTGGCTCTTACTGAGGGCCCGGCCTGCTGCTGGGTTGTGTGAGCAGCAACTGTCCCAGCAGGGTAGAGGGAGGCACCCCCAGCCTGGAGGAGAGTGAGGCCGCACCCCGCTGTGTCCACAGTGCATTTCTTCCAGAAGTACTTGAACATCCATTGACCTTGGAGGGAGGGGCCCCCAAAGGGAGGTGCTGTTCACTTTTGCCAAATCCTGAGGAAACTGGGACCCAGAGCGGGGAGGGACACTCAAGGTCACACGGGTCGCGAGGCTGGTACTGGGGCCCGGATCCCTGCCATCCAGCTCAGCACCTGGTGGCCCAGCCCAGGCCTGGTCTCCCACCCACAGGACAGCAGTGTGTGCGTATTCTGTGAGCCCAGGCAGGGGCCTGGGTGGGCACCTTCATCCACTCACGGGGCAGGCGATTACACTGAAGGACCTGGACACAGGCTCTCCTGGAGGCTGTGCCTGGGCGGTTGGGGCCTAGACTCTGTGCTGAGTCTCAGAAGGTGCTCAGAGCTGCTCCAGGAAATGCTGGCCTGACGGAGTGAGCAGTGAGGGCACGTTTTTGGAGTATGTAGGGGAGGGGAGCAAGGGACTGGGGCTAGAGAGGTGGGGGGGCTGAGAGTCGCTGCAGGGACTGGGGCCTGGTGCCCCGGGTGAGGCCCTGGGTGGTCTGTCTGTCATAGGCCCTGCCTTATCTCTGTGCCACTCAGTATGGGCACATGCCCATAGGAAACGGGGCCAGCTGTCCCCAGGTCCCCACGGCTGGCCAGACTTCCACCACAGGTCTCTGCTTGCCACCTCTCCGGGTGAGGGGACTCAGGCATCGGTCCCGCTGTGTCCCATGTCATCATGGGCTGAGCAGGTGGCCGGCCTCCAGGCCTGAACTCCCTCACCTGTCAAGTGGGCCCAGTTGCCAGAAGCAACTGCCAGGGCTGGAGGGGACCGTGAGCTTTGTCCAGGACAGAGTTAGAAGGCTGGCATCCCCGGGCTGCAGCCCAGCCCACCCTGGGTCCCTCATCCTTTCTCTCTGGGGCCATGCAGGGCAGAAGGGCTCTGAGTCCCCTGTGTGCCCCCCACGTGGAGGTGGGGGCGCCTTGGGGCACCCGAGTCTGGCTGACAGTGCCTTCTCCCCGCAGACATCAGGCTGGTGTCTGAGCAGTTCTCGCAGTCCCCGCAGAAGCTGTCTTTCTACATGCATCCGATGCCTGCCCTGCTGTCCCCCGTCCAGGTACTTCCGCTATGGCGCCCCTCCCGTCATCAACCCCCTGGGTACCAGCTTCCCTGCCAACACCTCCGTGCAGCCCTCCTTCCTCATCAAGATGCTGCAGAGCAATGCTTCCATCAACATCTCCCACCCGGCGCCTGGGGACTGGTTTGTGGCTGCCCACCTGCCCCCCTCATCCCAGAAGATTGAGGTGAAGGTGAGGGGTCTGCTCTCCTGATGGAGGGACAGGACACACCCGTGTGGGAATGGCTGGTCCCTGTCATTTACCTCCTCAGGACAGACCCTGCCAAGGCCTTGCTGCAGCCCTGCCTCCCCGACCCCAGCCTAGCCCACCTCCCATCTGGTACTGCCCCATCCCGTGCCCACGAAATCCCCTCCCCCACCTCTCCTTCTCTCCCTAGGGCTTTATTCCCACCTGTGCCTACATCTTCCAGCCTGACATGCTGGTCGTGCGGGTAGTCGAGGTCTCCATCCTTGAGCCCAACACACCCTTGCCACAGACCCTCCTCTCCCAGCCCAGCTACCTCAAGTGAGTGGGGGTTTGGGGGAGGCCCAGCCTCCGGGTTGATGGGGTGGGTGTTACCACTTCTTCCCTGCGGGTGGGAGAGGCTGGGTTCTGGGTCTTGGGGTTCTGCTGGGAAGTGGGGCAGAACCGTGAGTGTGACCAGTGAGGGGGGTCACTGGCAGCCACAAAGCCTGAGCGAGCCCGACCCCCTTGGCTGCAGAATCTTCGTCCCCGAGTTCACCCAGGAGCTGCGGCTGGAGCTGCAGGGCTGTGTGTCCAACGGGAGCTGGGGCTGCCCCGTGCACCTCACCGTGGGCTCAGCTACCCTGCCCAGCAACTTCCAGAAGGTGCTCACCTGCACCGGCCCCGCCCAGACCTGCCGCCTGCTGTTGCCCTCGCCACCCTGGGACCGGTGGTTGCAAGTGACAGCCAAGAGCCTGGCAGGGCCCCATGTGTTGGTGGCTTTCAGCACTGTAGCTTCTCTCACAGGTGGGCTGCATGGGGAGGCAGGCTGGGGGTGGTTCTGCCTTCGATCCCCAGCCCTTTTTCCAGCTGAGCGCCTTGTCCTCCTGACAGCCTGCAGGCCTTGGATCGTAAATTTCCAGCATCTTCTGCAGAACACTTCAAACCAGAGCCGCAACACATCTGCTGGTCTGCTGCCCGCGGGGCCTGGCTGGCGGGGCCTGCCGGGGAGCAGCCGTGTGGGCGGCGGCCCCTTCTGCCTCCTGAGCTACCAGGCCGTGCGGGAAGACGTGGATGTGGTGTCTGTGCACTTCAGGCCCCCGGACAGGGCCTTGGTGCTGGTGCAGTCAGACGTGCCTGCGGTGATGCGGCTGCAGCTGAGCACAGGCATGGACAGCGGGGGCTCCCTCACCATCGCCCTGTGGGCCAACGAGGTGGGGCTTGGCCCAGCGCAGCTCACAGCACAGAGCTCCAGGCTGAGTGAGGCTGCTCAGCCTTCGGGCGTTGACTTTATTGTGGACACTGGGTGGGTGGCCCCAATAGGCATTGGGCCGGGTAGGGGCACCCCTTGCAGAAAGGGAGGAAATGGGACTGCGGGCGGGGTCAGAGGCTGGGGGTTGGGGGCTGGGGGGGTTGGGGGGGGTCCTGGGGGCCCTGGGCCAGTGGAGCCACAGACAGTGGCAGCATCAGACTGGGAACTTGGGCTGACTTGCGCGGCCTCCCCTTGTAGAGTGTGATGCCCAACAACACCTGGGTGAAGGTCTGCGTGAACGCTGCCTCGCCCTTCCTCAGCTTCAGCGCTGCGCTCAACTGCACCACAGGTACGGGCAGGAGCATCCGGCTGGGGACCACGCCAGCCCCTCTGGCCACCTCTCACCAGGCCTTCCTGCTCCCCCTGCAGCCTTCTTCCAGGGGTATCCCCTGTCTCTGAGCACCGTGTCTCGCAAGGCCCACCTTATCATTCCCTACCCAGAGACGGACAGCTGGTACCTCTCCCTGCAGCTCGTGTGCCCTCAGAGTCCTGAGTAAGTAAACTTGGGGGCTGGCGTGGGGCCACCAGAGGCACCGGGTGGTTGAGTCATTGCGTTCAGGGCCATGATCAGGCTGCCTGCGTCTGAGTGTGAAAGTGACCCAGCTTCCTACAAGCCGCAAGGTAAGTTGCCTTCCGGGAATTACGAAGGACTCCCCTTCTCCAATGGGCACCCCTCTTCAGGCAGCCCTGGGAGTCAGGGCACAGGGAAGGGGCCTGGCTCAGGACAGCCCGAGACAGGCTGGGTACAGTGTGGTGCGGAGGGGAAGGGCCTCTTGGTTTCTGTGTCTCACAGCTGCTGTCTCCCAGGGCTCAGGGCCAGGCCTCACTGCAGGCCTCAGGAGCCCGCTGGAGCCCTGGCGGAGGCTGGCCAGCACACCCCGCAGCCAGCCCTCCTGGGCCCCTTCCTCCAGGGGGTGTGAGGGGGCCTCGGTGCTCGTGGAGGCCGCCTTGTCCTTGGTGCCCTGCTTGAACGACTGCGGGCCATACGGCCAGTGCCTCCTGCTGCGCAGACACGGCTACCTGTATGCGGGCTGCAGCTGCAAGGCAGGTGAGGGCCAGCCCGGAGCCTCCGGACACTCCTGTCCCTGACTTCTCAGCCCTGTGCCTTCCTCCAGGAGCCCAGCTCCCTGCCCAGGCTGAGAGCACCCTCGCCGAGCAAGGGCAGACGCCTTCTCTCCGCTCGTCCCATGCACGTCCCATCCCCCAGGCAGAAAGGCACCCCCAGAGATGGGACTGCCTCCTGCCTTGGCCTCCTCTGCCCACACCTGCCCACAGACATGTCCCATACCTGACTCACATCTGCCTGCACCTGCTCCATACCTGCCTCTTACCTGTCCACACCTGTCCACACCTGCCCCACACATAATGCCCACACCTGCCCCATACGTGCCATATACCTGCCCCACACCTGTCCCATACCTGCCTCATATCTGCCCCACACCTCCCTACACTTGCCCCACACTTCTTTACACCTGCTCATGCAGCCCCACAGCTGTCTGCGTCTGCCCACACTAGCCTATACCCACCCACACATGCCTGCACCTACACACACCTGTCCCAGCCTGCTCCTCGGTGAGAAACGGACTTCTCTCCAGGCCGTGCCCTGAGGTGCAGAGGTGCCTCCCCCATTAGCCTGGCCTCAGTTGCCCACCCTCAGCCCACTCAGCATTGCCCTGCCCACAGGCTGGCGCGGGTGGAGCTGCACGGACAACAGCACCGCCCAGACCTTGGCCCAGCAGCAGGCAGCCGTGCTCCTGCTCACCCTCAGCAACCTCATGTTCCTGGCCCCCATCGCCCTCTCTGTGCACCGCTGCCTCCTGGTGGAGGCCTCCGTCTACGCCTACACCATGTTCTTCTCTACGGTGTGCTGCTGCTCCCTGGGGCGGGGCGGGGGGGTCCTGAGTGTCCACCGCCGCCCACCCCCACACCTCTCTGCTCACTGCCCCCCACCCTGTAGTTCTATCACGCCTGCGACCAGCCGGGGGAGGCCGTGCTGTGCATCCTGAGCTATGACACCCTGCAGTACTGCGACTTCCTGGGCTCGGGGGTGTCCATCTGGACCACCATCCTCTGCATGGCGCGGCTGAAGGCCGCCCTGAAATATGTGAGTGCCCCCCCACACCAAAGGCTGGGCTCTGAAGGAGCAGAGGCCTTGCATGCTGAGGGAGAGACCAGAAAGAGGGTTTGGCTGCTGCCGTTAGAAACCTCCCGTCTTTCATAACGACCCTCCCTCTGGCACTGGAAGGGGCTGTGCAGGCTGCTCAGAGGGCTCTGGGGAGAGAAGGTGGAAGACGGTGAGGCAGGGCCTTCCCAGCCCGTCTCTCTCCCAGGGCGCTGAGAACTCTGTGGTGCTTTTTCTGCCACAGCCAGCGTGGCTGATGGAGACATGTGACCTGGAGCCCTGCCTGGCTAAGTTGAGCCTCAGGATGAGTCAGTAACTAGAGGAGGGCGCCTTCTGCCCGACCAGCGGAGCAGAGCAGTGTGCCAGTGGTTCCGAGGGGGCGGGCGGGGTGCTGGGGGCAGTGGGGGGGCAAAGGATGCCCAGCACGCCCCAGCCACCAGCTCCTGCTGGACCTTGTGCCATTAGGAATGGCCCTGGCCTGGGCTCCGTGACCCTGTGTCGTCCCTGTGTCTTACTCAGGTTCTGCTTCTCCTGGGCACACTGGTGTTGGCCATGACCTTGCAGCTGGACCGCAGGGGCGCCTGGAACACGATGGGGCCTTGTCTCTTTGCCTTCGTGGTCATGGTCACCATGTGGGTAAGGAGCTCCCCACAGACCCCCCACTCTGGAGGAGAGAGCTGGCCACTGGTTCTGGCCATGTTGCTGGTCCTGAGTTGGAGTCCCCCACGTGTGCTGAGGCCTGGCCCTGGCACTCAGGGCCTTGTGTGGCTTCGCCCAGGCCTGAGGACACCTCAGGTCTCTATGCCCTGGAGCCCCTTACGAGTATTGCCCGTCCTTGTCCTGCTACCCAGACGTGGGCAGGCCCCTGGGAGGTACAGCTGCAGCCCTGTGCCAGTGCTCTCTCAATGGTTCTCCCCAGGTGTACCGCTGCAGGCACCGGCGGCACTGCTACCCACCCTCCTGGCAGCGCTGGGCCTTCTACCTCCTGCCCGGCATCTCCATGGCCGCCGTGGCCATTGCCATCTACGCCTCCATGATGACCAGCGACAACTATTACTATACCCACAGCATCTGGCACATGCTGCTGGCGGGGAGCGCAGCCTTCCTGCTGCCCCCACGGGACAAGCATGCTGAGCCCTGGGCCTGCTCACAGGGCCTCGCCTGCCGCTATCAGATCTGTAAGAACTACCGGGAGGAGCTGTACACGGTGACGTGATGCCGCCAGCTCAGACATGCACAGCTCTGGTGGCAGCCTCTGCAGCCAGGGGGGCACCACGGGAGAGGGGCCCTGTCCCGATGGATTTCCAGCGGAATAAAATGGCCCTGCACACCCATTTGCTTTCTCCGGAGGAGAGGACCTCCCGCCCACAGGCGGTGGGGGACGGGGGGGGGCATCTCTGTTCTGCTGGCCTGGGCTTGACTGGAGACGCGCAGAGAGATGCGCCCATCGCGCTGTGAGGCTGTGATGTGAAACCCAAGGAGGCAGAGGAGGCTCGAGCCACCTCCCACCATCCCCCAATACCGCTGAGGCTGGGAGCTGTGCCCCGAATGCCAGTCTCTGTTGGGTATGGGCATGCCCCCTGCTGATGCTGTTGCCCTGGGCAGAGGTGACCGTGGCTGTCAGAGAGCTGCCATGTGTGGTGCTGGCGAGAGGCTGGGGGCCCTGCCTGTCCCTTCCTTCGGTTCTCAGCTGTGAAGCTGCCGGCCCCTGAGAAGAGTTCCTGGGGAGGCACCAAGCAGCGCAGGGTGGACTCTGCCAGCCATGTGCCCCTCCCTTCCCCTGGGCCCTTGTGGGGGCATCCTTGATGTTGTCGGGAGCGGAGGCGATGAGGGGCTGCTGGAGAGCCTGACCCAGCCTCCTCCGCCTCTGGGGGTAGCAGGGTGAGCCCCAGGAGATGCTGCGCCAGGAGCGGCCCTGCCTCTTCCCCGGGCAGGAGGGCGGCTGGGTGTGCAGAGTGGAGCAGGTCAGGGGAAGCAGGTCACTGAGGCCGGGCTCGGCCCCCATGCTCAGTCATTCTCTAGGGGAAACACTGATGTGTGGCGTTTTGGGGTAAACATTTTAAGACAACTTATTTCATGTAGCGCTGGTTTGCTGTGAGGGTGAGTTCAATGTTCCCCAGTTGTATTTCATGGCCAGCGTCTGTACATTGTGTCTGCGCTCCCTCGGGCGGGGGAAGAAGACGCCCAGGGGCTGCTGCTGAGGCTCCTGGAGCCGGCAGGTGCCTGGAGCCCCGCGGGCTGCGCAGAGCGGACGGGACGGGAGGGACACATCAGTGCTGTAACGAATACCTGTAGTGTTTAAAAAAAGGGAGGGGAGTGAGAAAGAAAGGAATGCATTTAGAACATCCTAACAGGTTAAAAAAATAATGCTACAAATAGACAATGTCCCCCCTTTTTACATTTTACACCCTGGTTATTTCCAAAAAGCTAACGATGAAAAGTCAATATGAAACGCCAGAGAGAAAGCTGCGAAGTGGACACCCAGAAACCACTCCAGGATGAGCACTGACTTGGGGTTTAAGCATTCTGATAAAAAGAAAAAGTGAGGCGCCCAGTGCCAGGGGGTAGCCCACAGGTGGAGCCGCAGGCGCAGTGCCGTGCGCTGAACAGGTGAAGGGTGGGGAGCTGTGGGGGGTCTGCAGCCACCTGCCATCATGGATCGAGGACCGCCTCCGACACCTCCCCACGACCACCTCCTCACACGTGCACTCACCGGGGGCTGCACCGGGGCTTGCTGAGCCCTGGGGCCCAGGCTCCCTTGGCGCCTTGGTCCCTGTGGAATAGAGTGCTGCTCGTGTGTGGAGCGTGCCTGGGTCCCACACCAGCCACCTCCCAGGCCTGGGCTGCCCCGCTGGCTGGGAGCTGACTGGGCAGGCAGCCAGGTCTGTCGGGTCCACCCCCGGCCCCACTGGTCTGCCGGGAGCAGCAGTGACACATGAAGACTCGCCCTGAGCTCGGGGAGGGGACGGAAGGCACGGGAGCCACAGCCGCTCAGCACCAGCTCCACGGGAGGAGGCCTCCGTGCCTGTGACCGCGCCTGGGCTCTGTGAGGCCAGCGGCTCTGACTGCTCCACCCTGAAGGCAAGAGGGTCTGCTGGCCGTCAGAGGGTGCGCTGGTCCCTGGGGTGGAGGGTCACAAGGGAAGTGGAAAGGGACGATGCCCCTTTCTGGGCGGCCCCGGGGGGTTGCTTTATGCCCACAGGAGAGCCTGTGGCTGTGGCAGCTCTGCTGCCCCCCGGGGCCCAGTGCACCCTCCTCTTCCTCCCCTCTCTTGGCTCCTCCTTCCTGCCCTGTCCTGGGGGCTGCCAGCTGCTGGGAGGATGGGGTGGGGGGACCTGCCAGCCCTCCCCAGAGTTTCCTGCCAGACCCCAAGGAGGCCTGGAGCGAGGCACCTCGTTGCCCCACAGCACCCCACGGCCGCACCCGACCACCTGAGAGGAGGCTGCCCTCTATGACAAGCACAAGGTGAGGGTTTGGGCTTGAACTTTTGCTCCTCCGGGGCCCCAGGATTGACCTGGCCTCACCACCTGCCCTGTCTGCCTGCCCAGGGCTTGTCATCCCAGAGGTGGGTGAGTGGTCGCTCTGGAGGAAGTGAGCCTGTGAGTGCCAGCAGCTTTACCCTCTTGGGGGAGATAGTGGAAAGCAGACGGATGTGGGGGAGTGCACCGCCTCGGACAGGGGGCTGCACACCAGGTGGGCTTGGGAAAGGGCTGCCTCTGCCCAGCTCCCGGCCACAGCCACAGTCCTGTGGGTCCCACATGGCACATTCCCCCCTGGTCCTGACTCCCCTGCACCCGGCCCACCTCACAGGTTCCGGGACAGAAAGACCCGCTGGTAAGAGCTGGACTCCCGCTGTGTACTTCGCCACTTGGCATCCCCGGGTCTTCCCGGTTGAGACCTCCTGTGTCTGTCCCATAGGAGGGGTGGGGCCTGTGGCAGCTGCTGCACAGAGAGCCCTCCCATGGCACAGCCGTTGGCTGCCCGTTCCCTCTGCATCCCCGAGGGAGGCGGTTCCTCTCATAGACAGGGCACTACTTCCAACGGGCCGAGGGGTGGCAAGCAGCCTCACTTGACCCTGTCTCCAAGCCCATCATGCTGGA